AGTCAAACGCCCTAAACATTGAGCGACGAACTCGTTTTCTCACTATCCTGACACTCAGAAACGGGAGTGTAAAGAGGGTGTCCGCATTGCAGGGCAGTAAACTGTTTCCTTAAAATGAGAGACGCTCAAGTTAAGTTTAAGGTGAATTCAGAAATCCCGGCACTCGCGACCAAATATGGACGAGTGTAGTGTGCATTTTCAGTTGTAGAATTGGCAAGTATTTTCTGCACTCTGCCTGTCGCCTCAACTTTCTGTGCTATTTATGGCTGCAATTCCGTTCCTTGGCATTTAATTAGGAGCCTTCTTTTTCGTGGTTTCGGTTCCTCTCTTGGATTTGTTATATTTTAATACCATGTATTTGGCAGATAGAGCAATGCAGCGATTGCTTGTATAATCTTCCAATAGTTACGCCTATTACAGTTAATTTATAGTGCGGTTATTACCTCAGCTGCTATACTGACATGGCCAAATTCGAACTCTTGACTAGCCTGGACACCATGACACACCTCTTGAGTGTTCGGGCCTGCCCCACCCTTATCGCCGATTTGTTTTCGGACATTCGCGGTTACATTTGCTAACTAGTTTCCGTAGTAGAGTTACATTTAACAGAACCAAATCGGAATCTTCATTTGACGAGTGTAGTGCTTAAGGTTTTCTGAGCTCATCCCCTGACAGTAATCTTAAGTCAAAATTGCGTGAAATTTCAGTCTTTGGAAAACCATTAAGAATGGCCAAGTCCTAGAATGCAATTTCGTTTGATGTGCGTTTTCTATTTTTTTCAATTTAGTAGGTACAAATGGTTTTCCTAACGAGGCTTGTCAGAGGATACACAGGACTAACACCCAGAAAGACCGATTTCAGTATTTACTACTTAATAGGCATATCTAAATAAAGGTTTCAGTAAGGAGAACTCTATGGCCGCCTAAACAGGATACGGCAACAGAAACTACTCACAATACATTTGGCTTTGTGCCTCATTCCGGAGAACATACGTTTAGGATTGAGGTGAAGTTTAGGGTTAGGTTTAAAGTTAGTATGAAGGTCAGAGTTGGAATTTGGGTCAGGATTTTTTTAAGGGTTGAGGTTTGGGTGTGTGTTAACTATAGGGTTGGGACCTAGAGTAGGGCTAGGCTTAAGATTAAGGCTACAATTTGGTTTTACGTTAAGATTAAGACACACTCCGATACTTTATCGCAAGACCACCTATTTTAATTGTGCGGGACCTTTCTTTTCC